AGCCCAAACTTTAGGTTAATAATGCTTTCAAAAAAAAAAAAAAAAGCAAAAGCAATAAAAAAGTGAGGACTTCTCCCAAAAGGTGAGAAGTGGGAAATGATTAGATGGTTGTTGTCTTGATTTGTAACCTAGTTGATTTGAGCTTGTAAGTCCGTAGGGGTATTTGAATGCCTAATGCCCTAAAGCCGTCTGGTTTGGGAGTCTTTGACCTAACGCTCGACCTCATGAATCGCTAGAAAGCTTAATAGATCAACACATTTCACTATACTTCCATCTTTGATCCTCAATAAAAATAATAATAATAATAATAATTGAGTGAAAAGAATAAGCGCACCTAGATGAATAAAGCTTTAATAAAAGGTCCACTTTTTCATCTTGATGATTGGTACTAGATTTGTGTGTGAGGGTAAGGATGTGATTAATTCTTTAGTTGGCTAAGATAACAACACATTTGATGCCGGTTCACTCAAAAGGATTCTAGAGTTGTTTTGATTTGCATGATCATTTTCTTGATGTGTGAAGGACCAAACTTACTTGCTTGATGTTGAGATTTTGGAAGATTGCTTAGAAAGGATTGACAAATTGCATACTTGAGGTAGTTTTCTCCCAATGCTTGTTTGCAATATTGGTGCCTCTTTTGAAATAATGACCTTAATGTTTATGGGTACCATTTCTGGAAACCCTCATGAGACTTCACTCATCCACTAGGGGTAACCTAGGGTTTAAAAGGCTTGTTGCACGTGCTAAGTGCAATCGTGTTCCCTACGAAAGTGGCATTATCCATTTATTGTTTTCTGGTTCATACTTGTATAGTTGTTTATTTCATTCCTTTACTTTTTAGTTCATTGCTAGGGACTAGCAATATTTAAGTTTGGGGGTGTGATAAGCACTGAAAAGTGCGTATTTAAATCCCTTAAGCTTAGGCATTTTAGTACCTTTATCTATCTTACTTTACCATTTTAGATTGATTTCGTATTATTTCCTTTTTCAGACACTTATCCGGAAAATAAGATAACTCAGCCAAATAAGAGCTTAATTGAAGCAATTCTGGGATTAAATAAAGAAATGAGCAAAGTGGAAAAAGAAGGAAGCAAATGAAGCCAAAGGTGACAAGCAGCAAAGTTTGACCGATCTAAGTTCAAGGTTCAATCGATTAAATAATGATCGATCTCAGCACTTCAAGATAGATCCAAGCCTTGACCAAAAAGCATAAATATCCCAAAAGTTCGATCGATCCAACACCATCATTCGATCGATCCAACACTTTTGTCCTTATTCAAATGATTGATCCTATCCACAGTTGTACCATACACTAACCACTTTTGTCCTTTTCCCATAAATATCTCCCATAAATATCTCAGATTTGTCTTTTTCCAAAAAGCTCATCCAGTTGGATCGATCCAGCCTAAGTTCGATTGATCTCACTTACTTTCGATCGATCCAAGTTCAAGGTTCGATCCATCTAACTTCCTCCAGTGTGAAAAAGTTAAAATTTCATCTCATTGAAAGTTGTCCTTTATCCAATCATTAGGGAATATTGTGTGCACGACCCCAGCTCATTTTGGGTGCCATTTTGACCTACCTATATTAGGATAAGGATTAATTTTTACAAAGGGAGCCAACATTATTTTGATATCATCTCTTGGAGAGCAAGCTTAGAGGAGGAGGAGGCTAGAGACACCATTGGAGTTCTTCATCAACAAGGAGCAGATTTCAACCATGGAATTAGCCCTTGAGGGTTGGAGCATCATCACTATGAGTGGCTAGACATCCTCTTGGGGCTAGAGTTAGCCCCAAGCATGCTTTCTATATCTTAAATTTGTGCATTATTGAGGGATTAATGTTGTAATTGATGTTTTGACACTTTGATATATATAGATCTTGTTTATTCAATGATTTATGTGGTTTAATGCTTCCAATTGATCTTTTCATTCTATCCATACATCTATGTATGCTAGAATAGATGTTCATGTGCTTGTCTCTAGATTTTATGTTATTGATGCATGTCTATGTGTATTGATGCTATAGATTTAGAGATTGTCAAAACATAGTGCTTAAAACAATGCTCTTGTGATTCTCTTGATGGTTCATGCTTATCTCTTGATGGATTGTGCCTTTCCCTTTGTTTATTTTAATGCTAGTAGTGCAGATGTAGTGTAGTTGTAGTGTAGTGTTAAATGGGAGGACAATCTATGCTTGTTGTTTGATGATCCAAGCTTTTGAATGCAAGTAGCATATGTCTCTATCCTTGTGTTGTATTTGGATCGTGAGCTTAATGAAAGGATTAATGACTTGTTTTGATTTATTGTGCCTTTCACATGTTGTTTAGACAATATATGCTTCATTGCTTAGATATATTGTGCCTTTCACATGATGTTTAGACAATACATGCTTTACTAGTCATCCTTGTTTATTGAATCAACCAAACACACACACACCAATATTGCAACACACCATTTGCCCTCATTAATCACTTGTCAATGATATAGAAATGCATTGCTTGGTGGTGATCTCTAAACCCCAAGATCTCTCTCTCTTACTTATTCTTAATTGCATTCTTTTGCTATTACTTGGTTTAATTTAGTTGCTCTTTAATCAACCAACCAACCAATTATTTGATCACTCGACCTACTAGCCCTAATTGTGATTCCACGACATTGCTCGATCCTCATAATCCCTTGGGATGATCCCTACTCACTTTGGCTTCGTTAGTAGTAGTGTTAGTAGTGGTTTTTATAAATTTAAACTTGATCCAAAAGGCTTTTCTTGAACCGCACATTCACTACATCAATTTGGCGTGTAAGGAACGGCTTTAACTCGTCAATAATTCCTAAAATAATTGAAATATTACATGGTAAGTTCCATAGAACTCGCCATGTGTCGAAAGCCAATTGGTTAAATTTGTCTTGAACAATTACATGATGGTAGAAGGAGGGGATATTTTGTATAACGCAAGGGGATAAAAAAAAGTTTCAGAAGTATTTTCAATATGGCTGGACTTAACTTGGAATTACTAACATTCTAATGCATATATAAGCAAGAAGAGTAATTTCCAGTATGAATAAAACCTAGACCATGTAATGTAGCCTCTTCTCAATGAAATGCTCCATACTTAGGAAATCAGCTGATCTTGGAAATTTAGCTAAGTCTGCTTTATAACTTTAGCCAATGTACTTTTCCAAGTACTTAGCTTTTCCTTCTTAGAATGGCCGAAGTATGGCCATTACACTTCATTTCCAATTTTCTGGTTTACTTAGAAAGGAAGATACCAGCCATTCTACATGGCCGGTTGAATGATTATAGATTTCCAATTTTCATAGATGGAAGGGTGATACTCTTTCAAGTATACCCCTTTCACAAGATGCTTGTGGGATCCTCCATCAATCAAAATGTAATGTGGCGCCAAAAGCTGAACCCTCTTGTCCACATTGGTACTAGGCTCCTGCAAGAATTGGATAATTGGTATTCTCCAATCTTCCAAGTCTAATCCATCCATATCAACATTGAAAATCTCCAATATCTTCTTTGCAGGTTTAATTATTTCTGGATTGTCAGCTTGGAAATGACGTGCTATCTCATGCCGTGACTCTATAGAAGGGAGAATCCTTCTTTTTATTGTAATCATGGTCTCTTCTACACCCAGTGGGACTTTCACTCAAGAGGCTAGTTGTGCTAGATCATCAGCCTCAGTATTCAAATGTCTTGGCCAATATTTTAGTTAGAAATCATCAAACTGGCAAAGTAATTCCAAGGCCAAAGAATAGAAAGGCCTAAAATGCCAGTTGTAAGTAAATTCACTTAGAAGGCTCCCAAAACAAATCTTCTTGCTACTGCTGGAACTGTTAGAGATTTCCATGTCTGCTTTATCTTTTCTAAGAAGAACGTTTACCAACAAAGAGTCCTCAACTTCTGAGTCAAGATCTAGCAAGTCATCAGGATATCTAACTCTTCCTTTAGCTGGAAGTTCTGACAAGTCTGATGGTTTGGCTATCTTCTTTGGAGAATTGATCCAACCATGGTCTTTTTCCCATAATCTCTTTTTATCTGCCCTTTTTCTTTGTTGCCTTCATTTTTGTGTACGAGTCATATAGGAATCATCATGAATAAGGAACTTGGGATGATCAAGCCTTCTCCACCCGTCATCTTGCAAGGTAGGAGGTCTAACCATTCTTGGTCGAAAATACTCACTTTCCCTTCTAACCCATAACTCCGAGGCCATTTTTGGCCTGGAATGCCTATCACCTTTGGAACCTCTATCTTGCCATCTACTCCTTTCAAACTTTCTGCTAGGAGGATGAGAACCTGGCTGATAGGAAATTTTATTCCTTTCTAAACTCTTTGGAAGCATTTCAGATTTCCTCTCTGCTGCCTTTCTTCCTCAATGAACCTGGCTTTCCTTCTCTGGAATGGTTACAGTAACTATGTTTTCCACCTTTTGGAAAGTTAGTCGTTCATGGACTTTCCTTTTCTGACCTCGGTCACTATTGGAGGGCTTTTCATTCTGCTTCTCTTTACGGCAACCTTCATTCTGAACTTTACACTTGGGGCAACAACCTTATTGGATTAAAGCAATCTGGGCCTCTCAGAGTTGCCTCTCCAACTTAGCTACTATCTTCTCCATAGATGTTGCCACCTTTGGAATTTCCAACTTTCCACTGGTCGCTGGATTTACCAAGTCCACCTCATTTTTTGAATGCTCTGGAACCATGGAAGCAACATTTGTTGCAACAACCTTAGGGAAAGGATTTCCATCAACACCCATGACTTCTAATTTTTCTGGAAACTTCAAATGGCCATCTTCGATTGCCTTTTGCACAATGTTACGAAAGATGACACAATTATTAGTGGAACTTGCAATACTCCTTCTCGGCCATTTTTTAAGCCGATGCCATCTTATAGCCCGCTCTGAAAATCAGTTGCTTATCAGCCATGAGCAAATCAAAGATTTGCTAGGCTTTAGAAATGTCAAAAGAGTAGCTTCTGGAAGAGTCTGTCCCCTTTCACTTGGAACTAGAGGCGGCCTGCAAGTTGGCCGTGGCTGATTTTGGTTTTGTCAAGGCCTCACAAGTATATGCCTTCTTTGTGTTGAGCTCAGCTACATTTACTTCAAACTCCCCTTCAGTTTCAGTGGTATACACTTCATAGTTAGGATCACGATAGTAGGTGCCCTTAGAAAAGTTCTTCCTATCTTGCTCCTCATGAAGGAGCTCTTCATACTTAGCCACTTTGCCGGCCAAATCGAACAAGTCATGGAACTGTACACCTTCAAACTTCTTACGAAGTTTAAATTCTAGGCCGTTCACAGCCATCTTCACATATTCTTCCAGCAGCAAACACAAATTACATTTGAACTTGGCCCGCCTGAATTTGGAAAGGAAGCTCATCACAGACTCTCCAGGTAGTTGATGAAGTCTGGAAATGCCTACCATGGATACTTCAAGCTCAGCTCTGTAGAACTGAGTATGGAATAAATCCTTAAATTACTGCCAACTTTGAATAGAGTTGGCTGGCAAGTTAGAGTACCACCTGAAAGCATACCCAGTCAGTGCATTTGGAAACAAGTGTTCCTTCAGCCATGGATTGGCTGCTGCTTTTCCATAATTAATAGTGAACCGACTGATGTGTTCCAAGGTAGACTGTTCACCCTCTCCATTGAACTTTGCAAACTTTGGAATTTTAAAATTCCTAGGAAATTCAAGTTCATCAATGAACTCTGGATAGGGCTTTCTGTAAGTTGGCCTTCTACCCCTTTGAGTTTGGCCAAATTCCTGCTGAAGGAATTCTGCAAATTGGCCTCTGTCAAGTGCCATAGGTTATGGAGGGTTGTTGTTTGGCCATCCTTGAGGTTGATTGGCCACTTGATGCCCCCCACCCGCCATAAGCAAGAGGTTGGCATCTGCATAGTTGTTCCTACTACGGTTCCTTCCTCCTTGGTCAAGAAGTGGCTCCCTTGGAAAAGGTTGCCCCCCAACTGCCATTGGAATGACTATAGGTGGTGGCCTTACTTGAACAGGTGCGGCTGGCTGAATGTTCACAGGTGGAACATTCTGTTGTGCTTGAGGGTTGTGGTATGGCCATGGTTGGCCAGGCTGATCATGCCAAGTCTGCTGTGGAAATACCACAGGTGGAGGATTCTGAACTTGCTGAATGGTTGGCATAGGCACAGCTTGTGGAATAGTCATCTGTGCCACTGGAGTAATCATAGGTGCAGCTGGAACGTGAGTCTGTGCCATTGGAAGGGACTCCACCTGTTGCTGAGTTGGAGGGAACGGCCCTGCATGTTGCTGAGAGGAACTCCCTTCAACAAACGTGGCTGGCCCACTAGCTTGAAAGGCCGACTATTGGGACCCTTCAGAGTTGTTTGGCAGAGGGGCCAAACCTTGGTTTAAGCTTCCAAGGGTTCGTTCCAACATAGACTCGAACCTTTGAGAGATTCGGTCTACCAATTCTTCAAACTTTCGGTCTTGAGACAGAACAACTTTAGATTGGTCTTAAGCAACTCTGGCTAAGTCTTGAGCAACTTTAGCTTGGTCTTGTGTAAACCTATCTTACTGCATTGCCATCATGCGAATGTTGTCCATGATGGGTCCATTTGCCATTGTTTGAGCAAATTTTTCCACCATATCATTTTCATCAGGTGTGAATCGTGAACTTTCCACTAGAAGTTCACTGACTTGCACCTCTTCTAGTTTGGCAGGGTCTTGGACAGACTTGCCTTGCCTTTTTCCAGCGGCGATTGAACAATCCGTTAAGAAGTCCCGCCGGGCATGCCAAGAAATTTTCAGCTCGCAGAAAAGTGCTAGCTCCACTTTCCAGGTGAGTGGAAAGTAGGAGTGGATGTCGGGCGTGACAGGAACTACTGTCGTTCCAAAGTGGATATCCGAACAACTATCCGGTAGGAAATTGTAGGGATTAGGCGATTGAATAAAGGACTGGAATTACCACCTTCAAGGGTTCTTTTTACCTTGAAAAAGGACTTCCGGACTGAACTATGGCTAGTGGTATTGAAAGTGCAGGATTTGAATTAAACATACTGAAATTGCATTACATGAATGTAAAGATATATGAATGTAAGGAATTGAAGTGCTGTTTTGCTGTGTGATTTGAATAGGGTTTGCAAACTAGCTCTAAGTGCTTTATTTATAGGACTTTCATGCATGCAGCAGCTTAAGGTGGCAGCTTCAGCAGCTTCCACGTGGACTGACTTCGGACTGCCACGTATCCCATGATCTTCTAACCTTCTCTAGATATTGCCAAGTGTAAAACCATTTTCTCCCATGATCTACAACTGATAATTAATGGCCTTGGCAGTTATATACATGTTGGTAAGCCTTCTCCCACGTTCTGGAACTGCCCAGATAGAAAGGCAACGGTTTCAAGCGGCAGTTAAGAACTTCCACTTGGAAGGTCCAGATCATGCCACGTATCCCATGTCTTCCTTAGTCTTCTCCCTCATGCGTGGTCTTCTCCTGTATTTCAGACCATAATTCCCCTAATTTAGCCACGTCATCCGTTATCTTCAATGTAGGTATACTTCCATTGAAAAGTTGTGTCTTTCATTATATTATGCGGCTATGAAGTTGAGAACCTATATGTTGCCAGTGGCCGTGTATATAATCTTTCAAACAGATTTGATTAAGTATATGCTTTCCAGGCATTTGATCACTTCACTTGGAAAGTAAGAGTGGACGTCGGGCATGCCAGGAACTGCTGTCGTTCCAAAGTGGATATCCGAACAACTATCTAGTAGGAAATTGCAGGGATCAGGCGATTGAATGAAGGACTGGAATTACCACCTTCAAGGGTTCTTTTTACCCTGAAAAAGGACTTTCAGACTGAACTATGGCTAGTGGAAAAGAAAGCGGTATTAAAAGTGCGGGACTTTAAAGTAAAGTGCAGGAAAGTAGGAATAATAAGTGCAGGACTTGAATTAAATATATTGAAATTGCATTACATGAATGTAAGGAATTGAAGTACTGTTTTGCTGTATGATTTGAACAGGGTTTGCAAACTAGCTCTAAGTACTCTATTTATAGGATTTTTCATGCATGAAGTAACTTAAGGTGTGGCAGCTTCAGCAGCTTCCACGTGGACTGACTTCGGACTGCCACGTGTCCTACGATCTTCCAACCTTCTCTAGATATTGCCAAGTGTAAAACCATTTTCTCCCATGATCTACAACTGATAATTAGTGGCCTTGGCAGTTGTATACATGTTGGTTTACCTTCTCCCACGTTCTGGAACTGCCCAGATGGAAAGGCAGCAGTTTTAGCAGCAGTTGAGAAATTCTACCTGGAAGGTTCAGATCATGCCATGTGTCCCATGTCTTCCTTAGTCTTCTCCTTCATGCCGTAGACTTCTTCCCCTTTCAGATATGATTTCACTAATTTAGACCACGTCATCCATTATCTTCAAACACTCCCTTAGTTAGTGGTAGTTACCATATGAAGTTCCACCACTTTCAACCGACGTGTTCTTGTTTGGCCAAATGTCCCCACAATCCTTGTAATTCCATATATGCATGTATATTTATATATATGTCTAATTCTGTAAACCCACGTCTCCTTTATTTGTTGTTAATTTCTTCCTCTTCTCAGACACGAATTACTTACTTCAAATAGTGGTAGTTACCTTTCATGGTTCCACCACTTTCAACTGATCATGTTCCACGATTTCTTGTAATTCATTCCTTCTTTAAAATCCTTCTCTCCCTCTAATTCCATACACCATGCACATATATGGAAGTTATTCCATGGCCCACATTTCCCTTATCCTTTTGCACCCACGTTTCGTTGATTTTAGTAACCCCCTCAATTAGACTTTCCTTTCTGATTTTGGAATTCATGTGTCGTGGCCCTAAGACTCCAGCAATTTTTCTCTTCATGGGTAAGATATATATAAATATATAACCAAAAATATACGTCTTTGTCCACGATCTTCTGCCAACCACATTCCCTTGGATTTTGGTAACTTCTCTTCTTGAGACTTCCCTTCTAGGTTTGGAGTTCATGGTGCCATGTACTCCTTAATTTCAGTAGCTTCTTCATCGTGGATAGTATCTTGATATAATATATATATGTATGAATATATATATATATATATATCTATATATATACCTATAAATATAAGTCGCTGCCCACGTTCCCTCTTTTTAGCCACGTAATTGACTTAGCCAAATTATCTGCTGAAGCCTCCTATAATTTAGGAGAAAATCCGGCCCAATTACCTTACTTAGTCAACTTTGGTCTTGCCACCTTTGGTAAGGCTTCCTTTTACTTAGGCATATATGATCTTTGGTCCCCCTGAAATCTTTATAACAAACAAATAATTCCTAAAAGAATTGAAATATTTCATGGTAAGTTCCATATAACTCGCTATATCTCGAAAGCCAATTGGTTGAATTTGTCTCGAACAATTGCATGATGGTAGTATTTCATAAAATAATTCCTTCATTCCAAATAGGAATTTGTAGGTCATCACTTTAAAGATGACAAGTCCTAATAGGACTCACCTCTTTCCTTTTAAAATAGAAAACCCCATATGGTAGGATTATACTGGCCCACTTGTTTAATTACTACGTAATATTGCATAATTTCCAATAATAATTCATAAGAGTTGCGATCTAGCGTGGTACATTCCATTGGAACTCGCCACATGTCGTCTTTCCATTGGGCCAAAAATAATGGAATAAACAGAAGAGCTTTTGTTCCTCCTCTCTTGATCAATTCACCACCTAAAGATCTCTGTTTCATTATTAATTATTTCAATTTTCTCTATGTTAAGACTTCCATTATTAATATATCCCTCGCAAGTTGTGCCGAAGCCATCATTGATGCCCTGATTATTATTGGGCACAAATCATTTGTACATAAACGATGTACGTGATTTGCAAGAAATCGAATACATTTGAATATATATAATACATATATTTACAACCCACTTCACAGTAAGAGTGTTACTTGATATATATATATATATTTTTCCTTGTCCCGATCAATCTAAACAAAAGTCAAAATTTCTTAATAAAATAGGACCCATTGCATAGTGACGGGTGCTAGAGACATTATTGTCATCGATATATCAATTTTACAATGGGATCCATCTCGCTCACTCACTACTATCTTCCCAGTTGCACCAAAGTCTTTACAATTGCAATGTCTTGATTAGATGTTAGACGTGACTGCTTTGCAGATTTGAGCAAAATACTTCCATAATTCAATTTCAAATTTCAAATTTCAAAATATATGGTCTTTGATTTGCATTAATTAAAATACCACCCTCCTTTGTCATGTTCTTCATTCTACAACTGCACACTCTATAAGTTAATTACTTGAAAGATTTATTTCATTTCAGCATTGAGTTTAAGTTTTATTTATGATTTCTTAATTTGAAATTTCAATTTGTGGAACAAATAAATACGAAGATGATACAAGTGTGTGATAAGTTCTATCACTTCATTGACTAAGCTGGCAAATGGCTAAATCTACTAGTATAGGCCATGGTGCAAGTTTTGGTTTTATAAAAAATGTCCAAATAATGTCCAATGGTTGAATGACACGTGGAATGATTTTTTTTTTTTTTTTTCTTTTAAAACTATCTGTTGACTATTCTAACAATTGTTCAGTAGAAGGAAAATTAAGAGAATATAAAAGGAGAAAAACTAAAAACATAGAAAATGTTATTTTTCTATATTTATATGCTTGAATGTGAATTGCCAAAAGAAATAAAATTAAATAAATAATATATTTGTTGCAGTCATTGATGGACAGAATAAACTAGCTCATATCATTAGCATTGGTAACAAGCTACC